AATAAAAATAAATGGGTTTATAGAAGGTCAAAGGGTAGATATGAGATGTTGTGTTAGTTAATGGGCATTTTGACAACAAGGCTTCCCCTTTGGTATGTTTAATTGTGATGTTTAATGAACTCTCTTGCAGTTTATGATGATACTTTTAAAATAAAATCCTCTTCTAACAACGGCTTAGGCCCTTCCACTCAATGGGAGAATAGCGGACTTGCAGAATCTTATTTGGAACCATCACTCTCTACTGTAATTTTGTTCCTGTTTATTTATTTATTTTGTTTGTTTCACTGGAAAGAAAAGATAATGCTCAATTTTAAACATTAAAAGTGTACCAGTTGCTTGTTATAATGAAACTAAATTTTCCTCAGTAAAAAAAAAAAGGAATGAATACTTACATCTCAATATCCAAAGATCAGTGGCTCAAAAAAGTTTTAGAACTAATACTGGGGATAGAAGAGAGTGAGGCACAATTAGCATAAGGCATGAGGAGCAGAAGAATAAAAATTCTAGTAAAAATGAGATCCAAAAGCATTTGTGACACCTGCATTGGGCTAGAAATTGTAAAAAACACAAATGTGGGAACACATTCCAAAAGAATGTGTTGGGTTTCTAGAATACCCAAATTACCCACCAGAGGCAGTCTGAGAGAAATATGAAGTGATACAGGAAAAATGAAATGACAGAAACAGAGCCCAAAAGTTTAGATAGTCTCCATTCTATGAAACAAAGTCTTCCCACTTGGTATGAAAATCCAGTCCTCACACCATCTGGACATGAAATTCCTTTTCCAACTTCACCTCTCAATGGGTTCTAACAAATGATCTGAGTTCCACCTGTCCTTCAATGCTTACTATTATCTCCCAACTTTTCCACTCTGCCATTGTGCAACTGGAGCCTCTCTTTTTAGAATGTCTTCCACCTCCTCCTCTTTTCCTTTATTATTCCTTCCCCATTTTTTAAAAAAATATATGTTATTGATTTTTTACAGAGATTCAGGGCGAGCTATAGGGAGTTAGAAACATTGATGACAAAGAAACATCGATCAGCTGCCTCCTGCACATCCCCCACTGGGGCTGTGCCCGCAACCAAGGTACATGCCCTTGACTGGAATCAAACCCGGGACCCTTCAGTCCAAAGGCTGACGCTCTGTTCACTGAGCCACACTAGTCAGGACCATTCCTTCCCCACTTTGCACTAGGAAAATTCATGAGACACCACTTTCTTGTTTGGTCAACCCAACCTTTACCTTTCTCTTCACAGCCATTGGCAGCCATAAGACATCTGATTAATCTGATTAAACAAAGGATTAAGTTGAGGCACATTGCACAGTTCCTTTGTGGTAGGCTGATTATGACCCACAAATATATCAGGTCCTAATCCTTAGAACATTTAAATATTACTTTTTGGGGGAAAAGGTGCTTTTGAAGATTTTATCAAGGATCTTAAAATGGAGAGATGATCGTGGATTCTCCAGGTGGGCCATGAATGCCATCACAAATGTTATGATAAGAGAGAGCAGAGGGAGATTTGACACACACCCACGAAAGAGAAAGTTATATGAAGATGGAGACAGAGATTTGAATGACGTGGCCATAAGCCAAGATATGTTGGCAGTCACCAGAAGGAATGGATTCTCTCCTCAGGCTTCCTAAAAGTGCAGCCCTGCCAACACATTGATTTAACTCAGATACTGATCTGGGCCTTCTGGTGTCCAGAACTGTAAGTAAATAAATTTAGTCTGGAAATTAAAGAAAGGTGTTTAAAATAAAATCAGTATTTGAGCCTAAGAGCAGTCAAAGGAGACTAATATTATCCTTCATCACCTCCTCCCTTCTTGCCTTAGAGATAAACATGAGACCTAGAACAACAATTGAGAAAACAAAATCCACGATGATGAAAATGACAGAGAGAGAAAAGAGCAAGCCCGGAATTCTCACAACATCCCTACAGGCATCAGCCTAGGACTCCTTACCTATGGGTTACTGACTGTACAAAAGAAATGTATATCCCATCAGCTTAACCCACAGAAATCCTATATGAAACAGCTCTCCTTGACCCGGCTAACCAGCTTCACCTCTCCTCTCTGCTCTCTGCTAGCCCCTTCCTCATATCTCCTCAGCACACAGCCATGACTTGATACTTTCACCCATGAATCAGCGAGGTCCTTGAAGACAGTGACATTTATCTGTGTAGCCCCAGCATTTGGCCCAGTGCAGTCACATGCCAAGCAATCAGCAAAGGACCAAAAACAAATGGATAAGGTCTTGCAAAGGACATTAGGCCTGGAAGGTCCCATATGGCAGCCTTTCTGCTTATTACAGTGTCTTTAGAACAGGCCCGACTGCACATTCTTAATGAGCAAGAATGCCATTTGTTTCAGTGATTTGGGACCTTCCGTGTAAGTAGTGAAGGGGCCATACATACCAAACACTTCATCCAGTTCATTGCCTAATTTTTTCTGGACTTCTGGATGGCAACCCAATAGGTACAAGGCCCAGTTCATTCCAGCTGCAGTTGTGTCATGGCCCTACAAATGTAAGAGAAAAAAAAAGCATAGAAAGCAGAGTTCTATTGAGAAGTTTAGAGATTTTGAATTGGCCCTGGATTTGACAGCTGTGATGTGACCCCGGACAGAACAAGTTAATTTTATACAGTATGTTACCTCTGTGGGGAACAAACCAATGAAACAAACCCTTCAAAGGGGATGCCTCTGGGTACAGGGACATTCAATATGACAGAGTCACATACTTGGTGAGAGTGGCTGGGCTGGGCTAACAGGAGGCATTCCTAGGGAACTCCGTGCGCTGGACTGTTTTTGAGGGAATGAAAGTGTGACTTTCCTGAGCCAAGTGGCCAGATCTGCACTTCTCCACTGTCCCCCATTTGTACGGTCAGCTTTACTCGGACACCAGGGAGCACATGGCTGGTATTGAGCAATAGTCTCCACAACAGCAATATGATGAATTGCCCCATTTAAACCTTGACGAGTTTGAGGCAAAATTCCAAACATTTTGTAGAAACGAATTCAATTATTCTTCACAAAACATCCATGGGAGCCCAGCAGGCCTGGTTCAGTGCTTGAGCATCAGCCTATGAACCAGAAGGTCATGGTTGGATTCCTGGTCACGACACATGCTGGGGTTGTGGGATCGATCCCCAGTAGGGGGCATGCAAGAGGCAGCCAATCAATGATTCTCTCTCATCAATGATGTTGCTGTCTCTTCCTCTCCCTTCAATAAAAACACATTTCTCTGAAATCAATAAAAATATATATATTTTAAAAATCCCCATGGGATTATTGATACTGTTATTCACATTTTAGAGATGACAAACTGAGTCCCCAAAAGATGGTCAGTAGCTTTCCCAGGGCCTGACAGCTTCACAGGAGGTGGAGGCAAGAATAGGATGCTCAGAGTTTCTGATGGCAAAGCAGAGTCCACACTCTTCACCTGGGGGAGCATGGGGGATCCGGGGTGAGGAGAGTCCAGCTCCAATACTGATGATGACACCTTGGATGACATTATTCTCTCTTCGTTTAGGGTCTTTAGGCATCAGCCTCTTATTTACTGTCCTCATCTTATTGGGACATCCACATGCAAAATGGTAATTTCTTCAGAAAAAAAATGTATTTGAAAAATGAAAGATACTATTAAAACTCTTACAGGTCCATTTACCCTATGCAACCCAAGTGACCATTATAATATTTCATCTCCTGGGCAGAAGTCTCTGAAAGGCTTATTTTAGCTCCTAAGTGGAATTGTTGAGGACTTTTCTGCAATTTTCTGATGTTGGCATGATTGTATTTTCTCATACTTGCAATTTCTTTATAGAAATGACCTGAAGTCCCGACAAAAGCTGGCCCATGTCACTCAGTTGTTTAGCAAAGTCATAGAGGATGTGCTCTTGCTAAACAATTCTGATAGCTTCTCTTGAATTTAAAAATGAAGTTACTGTTTTATTTTTTTCTGCGACCTAAAGGCAGAAAACACAAAGCACAGAGCCAGCAAGAGCATTGGCGGAACTGCGCAGGGCAAGAATCCGCCAGACCAGGAGCTTAAAAGGCCTGGCACAGACATAGAAGCATGGAACAGATTGTTCCATCTCAGAGGGAAGGAGGGGGTGGGTGTGGGAGTGGGTGGGAAGAGATCAACCAAAGCACTTGTATGCCTATATGCATAACCCATGGACACAGACAGTAAGGAGGTGAAGGCCTGGGGTGGGGGGCAGGAGCTGGCCATAAAGGGTTATAGGGGGAAAACAGGGGACAAATGTAATACTTGTAACAATAAAGATTTTAAAAATAAATAAAATGAAATTTAAAAGTAAAAAAATAAAATAAAAGGCCTGGCATCAACAGCCTGAATCCTCTTACGGAGGAGGTCAGAATATTGTAGTTATACATGCTATGTCCTCTATTTCATGGGTAGAAGGGAAAAATTAGAACTTCAAAGAATGTTAGAGCTGCAAGAAAGAGATCGTTAGTTTGGTTTTTTTTTGTGTGTGTGGAAGTGAGAGCTTACTGGTGGGAAATGGATGTGTATGTGCAGGTGTGAGTGTGTGTGTAAGTGCACATGTGAATGTGTGTATGCATGTGTGGGTGACGGGACCACTTTAACATCAGATACCAGCCAATATCTGTTGCAGAAGAATGTGCCGGGCATGATGGTTGGTGCACATTAGAAAACTATGCACCTAGTCCTCAGAGCTGTTCTGTGAGGCCCATGCTATAACAGCGAGGACACAGAAGTCCCGAAAGGGCGAGGAGGGGCCCGAGGTCACACTTCTAGTATAGGTCAGAGCTGGGATTTGACCCCACAGCCCACTTTTTAGTGAATTAGATGTCCATTTTCGGCATAATGTTTCTTTTCTATAAAGTCATCTGCTTAAAATAGCCATTTAAAACTACTGATACAGCCCATCTTTCCATTTTCCACACAGGGGACTATGGCAGAGATCTGCAATGACTGGGCCTGTCTCCTCTGGCCAGTCAGCACAGACCTGAGAGAAGTCAGGTATGTGGACCCTTCACACCACTTGCTTCCTTCTACAGGGCGCAGAGCTTCCACCCTGGGGAGGCACTGCACCCAGGTGGCTGCAGGCAGAGCAAACACAATGCATGCAGTCCGCCATTGAAAACTGATGGTTTTCCCGTTCTTCTATTTCCAGGATATTCCACGTGCTGCCTTTTAACCCCTTCCCCAACAATTTTTTTGTTAAAAACGTTTCTTTTTCAGACTAATTTTTTTATTTTGGTTCTATATAGTATTTTTGATGCTGGTTATGAAAACAGTTTGTAACTCGTCTTCCTATAAACCATATTTTTTTTACCATATTTTCTTAGTATACTCGTCGACGACTGAAAAAGAACATTTTGTGAAAACGAGTATACACGTTTCTGCCGGGGAAGGGGTTAAAACCATTTCTTAATCTTTACTTGGTAAGCCACATGTTAAGAGCTTTTCTCTTTATAATATTTAATGTAGTTACTAGTAAAATTATCTTTGCGAAAAATTCATTTTTTTACCCAGCCTGTGTGGCTCAGTGGTTGAGTGTTGACCTATGAATCAGGAGGTTATGATTCAATTCCTCTTCAGGGCATATGCAGGAGGCAGCCAATCAGTGATTCTCTCTCATCATTGATGTTTCTATCTCTCTCTCCCTATCCCTTTCTCTATCTGCCTAAAAAACAATCAATAATACTATGTATTTTTAAATTTGTCTTTTTTTTTTTAATGTAAAGACCAGAAAGCTCCTTGGAATCACAAACTGGTTAAATTCTCTACTAGAAGGAGCTGGGAAGATGGTGGCTGGCAGGATGGAGGTGAGGGAGAGGGTGTGAGTGAGTAAGGAATTGACAGGGGAGTGTGTGGACATGTGTAGTGTGTGTGTGTGCCTGAGTGAGGGACAGTTAAATCCGGCAGGAGTATGAGAAGCTGACAGACCAGGCTCTCCTAGACAAGGAGCCCCTACCACTGCTGAGGGCACTTCCTGGGCTGTGGTGCCATCTTGAAGGGGAGAGCGGCCTATTCTAGGAACTCATCAGCACCACCACCCAGACTGACCTTGAACACAGCCCGCAACGCTGCAGCGACACCATCCAAAGACCTGCTGCCTCGTCCGCAGACCTGCAGACCCTAGGACATCTACCTCCAAGGGCGCATGGCTCCTGTAACAGTAAGGGGGACTTACAGCTTCCTGGCTCCTAGCATCTGGACACCAAGATCACATCAATTCAGTGCACGGGGATCCTGAGTTCCCGGCCCTGGCAGATGGCTCTCTGGTGCCTATGTGAGTCACCACTGGGTGTGCACATATCCAAATAAGGTCGCACAGCCCTGGCAGTAGAAACTCCGACTTCCCCCTTCCCAGATGCCTGCCCACAGAGACAGTGATCATGTGGTTTCAGCACACAGGTCCCCTGAGTCTGCCCCCCCAGCAGGTGGCTCCAGGGTGCCTCTCTGAGCCACCTCAAGGCATGACCTGGCTGCCAGCATCCAGTATCCATGGTAGTGCTGCTCCAGCACATGGGCCCCCTGAGCCACCACCCTAGCTGACAGCTCCTGGGTGCCTCTGTAAACTGCCACTGGGCACACATATACAACCATGGGCACACAGCACCCAGAACAGAAACTGGGACTTCTCGCTCCTCCGGTTGGCAGCACACCATGATCTTGCAGCTCCGGCTTGTGGGCCCCACGAGCACACAGCCCCAGCAGATGGCTCCTGGGACCCTCTGTGAGCTGCCATTGGGCGTGTGCCCCTCCAACCAAGGGCGCACGGCTCCCTCAACAGGATCCATGACATCTCCTCCTGGCTGCCTACCTCTGGACACCTTGGTGAGTTACTGAGGATCCGCCTCCCCAGACAAGGTCACATTGTTTCAGCCATAGACTCCGAGATTCCTACAACTCAAGCTGCTGGATCCTGAACCCCCTTTGATTCAGAGAGGGAAATCAATTTGGCCAGAGTCCTAGTGCCTCAACTACAAACTACGGTACAGCCGCCCCACAACATCCCAGGCTCCACGACCCTCGAAGTGAGTTACAGAGTGACGCTACCCCAGCAAGAGTCACACAAAACCAGCCAAAGTCAAAGTACCCGAGCCTCAGGCCCCAAGACCACATAATCCCAAGCCCATGCACTCTGGGAACTCATAGTGAGCACATACCAGTGAGACCTCAGGCAACCCTTTCCACAAGAGCTAGAACCACAATCACATCCACAAGAGCTTCCACAATGAAACTGGGGGTGAGTCACTTTGCCAATCCATGACGAGACTTCATCCACATTTAAGAAACTAACACTCAAGATGCAATTACATCAAGAGAACTCAAATAGCTCAAGTAGGAGGCTCCACTAGATCACCAAGCTCAGGAGAACTGAGAGACTGCATCACTGGGTCCCAAAAATCACCAACTACATTGCACCACCCCCAAAACAACCTGAGTAGCAAAGCAGTTGGATCTAAGACATAGAAACAATTAAAACATTACAGCAAAAAATGGGGAGACATAAAAACAATCCCAAAGGAAAGAAAAAAAGAATCACCAGAAAGGAAATTAAATGCAAGTAACTTATCAGAGAAAGAATTCAGAGTAATGGTTACAAGGATGTTCAAATGTCTGGATGATAAATACACACAACTCAATGAGAATTAAAGAAGCTGAATAAGAATGTCACCAACATGAAAAGGAATCAAGAGGAAATGAGGAATGACCTAGCTGCAATAAAGAACATAATAGAAGGCTTCAACAGCAGACTTGAAGAGGCTGAGGACCACATCAGTGAATTAGAAGACAGGGTAGGAAAAATGTTATCAGGCTTTTTAAAAATGTTAAAAACTTTTTTAAAAAATTCCTATAAATTGATTATTTTTTTAAGTTAAAAATAAATTGGGAACAGATCCCAAAATATTTAAAAGGTGGCTACAAATAATTCTTGCTATTTCATGTTATTTCTAATTTTACTATTAAATGCTTTAACACGTCTAACTATTAGTGCTGGCTATTTCTTCATCCTTAGCATTTTTAACTCCCAATATTAATTTTGAAAAAATCATTTTCTTGTATATAACAGGAACTGTAATTTGTTAAATGATGATACCTGAGTCTAACATGACAACGCAACATACCTCAAACATAAAAGTGTCCACTTCTTCTTGAATAGCCTCAAAGCTTAGCTTGTTCCCTTCATCATCCATCACATTTAAAAGCAGGTCGAGAAAAGCCTTGCGTTTTCTCTTGGAGAGGGTCGTGCCTCTGTCATCACTTTTACGTTCTTCATCTCTCTTTATTTCATTGGCCCGTTCATTGATGACCTGTATGAATGAAATGATCACATGCTTTTGTGTGGAATTTGATATGGCCTAATAATCCATTTTCCTGTGAAAATATGCTAGCTTCTTTAACTGATTTTTTCTAAGCCTTTTCTGTTCTGTCTCACTCAACAGGAAATTAGGTTTTTTGAAAATATAGTAAAGCTTTTTGTGAACATTTTAGGGCATTATTTGATAAGATTTTTAAAAACAAATATAATGTCAGACAAATACATCATTTCTAAGGACTATTTTTGCAGCCTTTCCAACATGGGAATAGAGTAGTAGTCTCCTGAATAGGGCCCAGCGAGTTGAAAGAACTCATGACAAAAAGTTGGGTGGTAGAGAGAACAAAATCTGTAGAATAAAAACCCAATGGTCCTAAAGCCATAACGACAAAGACCGGTCACCAGGAGGTGCCTTGATGCTGTGTCCCACAGCACCAGTGGGACTAGACTCTGGGTCCCAGGTCACACTGGTTCTGGGTCTTTCACAATCTCCCACTCTGTGTCCCTAGTCATTAAATAATAGATTAATTATAGATCACTCTAATTACGTGTTGTATTGGAGAAAAGAATCAGCCTGTACGCTTGCCGCTCCTTCTGCCTAGAATGCTCTTGCCTCAGAAACCAGCATGACTAGCTTCCTCCCTAGTTGTAGATCTCCACTGCCCATTGTCACACTGTCAGGGTCACTGCTACCCTAGTCCCTAGCACTCACTCTCTTCCTAAGCCTACTTTACCTTTTTTCCATTTCACTTACCACCTGGCATCGTATTTGTTATTTAGTGACTTACTCCTCCAACTTCAATGTAGTAGAAAATTTGTCTTTATTCATTGATATTTTTCTAACATTTAGAACACTGCATGGCATTTTAAAAATGTTCATCACGTATGTTTGAATGCATAAAAGAATGAAAGCCCCTGAGCTTAATTTGGTTACACATTTCAACTTTCTCCTCCTTTCAGGCAGTTGTCCAAACCTGCTTCTGCTTTGAATGAGCAGATCCCAAGTTCCGTAAAGACAAGCACCATGTCCTCTCTTTGCTTCTTGGTGGAACCCCTAGTGCCTGGCACTCAGTATGCAATTTTTTATATTATCATCCAATTTGGAATTCATTCATCATTGATACTGATATTAATGCATGAAATTTGAAGACAAGTATAATTAGATCCATAAAATACAAACTGTTTACCATTCACCTCCTGCCAGACAATTATGCTATACACCACTGAGGGTAGCTCACTCCAACATGTCAGTCATCTAACATCTAGGGACTCTAACAACTTGATCTGTTGGTGGAGGCAGTACTTCATGGTCAGGAAGCAATGCCATCATATTTTAAACTAAAATTTACAGCAAAGGATAAATATAATTACCTGACCACTTTTATCTGTACATTTAAATTATAATACATGTTTTCAATTAAAGTTTGCCTTTAATATATATATAATTTTAACACAAACACAGACTATATCCAAAACATTACTATTTCCTTGTCACTAAAAATTAAATAGTAATATTTAGTTAATTTTTATCTTTTCCAGTTTAGAGACACTGCTATAAATGCCCTTTGTCTTTGAAAACCATTGCCTAATCCAAACAGTTTTCAGATATTCTTATAACACAGATCCCTGTGTCTTTATTCCCTTAGCATAGCACCCAGTTTGTTAATAAACTACCATAGCTCATATCACATTTTGTAATTATTTATTTATAGACAACCTCCTCCAGTAGATTAACCTCCGCCAGTAGGGAACATTAATGACAGGGTATGTTAACAAACATAGGAGTCATACACTTATAAAAGTTCTAGAAAGTGACAGTGCACAACATTGTTAATGCCCCTAATGCCACTGAATGGTACATTTAAAATGGCTATTATGACAAATTTTATGTTATGTAGGTTTGTTCACAATAAAAAAAATGAGGACTTACATTGGTGGTAAAATTATGTAAGATCTTTAGGTTCCTTCTGTGGTCCCTTCCATCTTTAAACAAAAGGTACAAAACGTCATGCCAGAACCAAATCTTCTTGATTCTTCGATGTATCAAGTCACTCATCCTATAAACAGGATGTAAATGTATCAGCTGATATATCAAAATGTGCATTGCTTGAGTACCTATTTGGTGCCTCATTTCAATGAGGGTAATATGTGGCAACAATAATAATTTGTCTTAGTGGCTACTTAGAGCTCTATGCTTTATGCTCAAATGAAGGCATAGGTCATTACACATCTAAGGAAGCTTAAAAGTTAAATGGGTCCTTTAGAAAATGAAGAATGCATTGCAAAACATCCTTACTAAATGGTCATCTGATCTCTCCTCTATTTCTCCAGGAAGAGTTCCGGACCTCCCTGAGCTCTCTGTAGCTCTTATAACACTGGGTGGGCTGAAATCTGCCTGCTTAATGTCCACACATTTGTTTGATCACTCCTCTGGCCGTACTCTTCTCCAGTAAAGTGCCCCCCTGTCACATCATCCCGAGTCCCTCCCTCAACATTTCCAGTGGTGGAGCAGAGAGACCTAGATATGATCTCCTTTGAGAGCAGCTTACACACCAATTCTGCAGAATAGCCTATCCTGGTCACTCAATCTGTGGGCCCTATTGCTGTTTTCTTCTCGAATATCAACTTTATTTTTTCTTTCTAGGCAATTATTATAGTTTATAAACTTATACTTATTTGTTTCAATGCTTGTATCCCTGTTTTTCTGTACTGTGGACCACTATAAAACTAGTCAGTAACTTGTGTAATGAATGGCAGATTATATCCTATATAATAAAAGACTTACATGTTGAGTGTCTCATTGTGCAGTCGGCCATTCAATCAATCAAAGTGTAATATGCTAATGATAACACTTCGGCTGCTCAACCACTTGCTATGTCATGCCCTGACCAACAGGGTCAGATACTGCAACTGGTAGGTTAGCTTGCTGCTGGTGTCCGGCCAAATGGGACTGAGCAAGATGGGCCAGACATGCCATGGTGCTCTCCTGGGGTCCCTTTCTGGCAGGCCAACATCCCACATCTCGCCCTGGCCCTGATCATGCACCAGTGGTGTCCTTTGGCCTGGCCTGTGCTGTCTTGCAATCCAGGCAAGAGAACCACACCCCTACGCCCCCAGGTGCACAATTTTCATGAACCAGGCCTCTAGTAATTTAATATGTGTTAGAATTAAATGGGCAGTGGACTTAAAGACAGAATTCCTCAAATAAAACCATGGCCCTGCCTTTAATACTTGAATAATCTCAAGCAATTTTTCAAAGTAAATATGATTATTTCAATTTTTGAAAGTAAATATGATTAATACATACTCAGTGCAGAAAATATGGGAAGAAATAAATAATAAGAACTCAAGCAAGAAAGAGAAGCACATAACAAAAACAATAATCACAGCTAACATTCTGAAATGATATCTACAAGATTTTTTTAAGGAAAAATATTTTATACCTAGTGATTATCATGCTAAAAATATTGTCTTTATCTTCATCTTATTACTAATCATCATAATGTAATTTCTCAATATATCATAAAATAATCATTTAAAATTATACCATAGCCTGGCTGTGCCATACTTTCTACAATAAATTCTCTATGGTTAAAATACAAGCATAAATGATTAGGTTTATTTTTAGCACAATATTTCATTATGAAACAATGATGGTGAAACAATGAAAAAGGTACAAGACAAACCAAAAAATATTAGCGATATTTTTTAAAGCTTAAAACTTTCAATTCATGCACATGCCTTGTGTTTATTTTTTAGTGGCAAACACTTCAAAGAAGAGATAATTTCTTCTATTATAGAATTGTTCCTGTCCCCCTTTCACTCTTGCACCTTTAGTTTCTCCTACTCCCTGTTCCTGCTCCTTCTTCCCTCTGCCCTTCCTGGCAGGTTGGCTCTGCTCGAAGCCCTGGCAGTGGGTACTGCTTCTCTGGAGCCTAATTTAGCAGAAGGATCAGCCCCAAAGAAGCCAAAATCCTTTCTAACCCCTTCACTTGCCTTCCCAGTGAAATGTTATTTTCTATTTGGGCCATTGTATGTTTACACCATAGCTCTAGAAACAAATCCATGAGACGTACCACAGATTATATCTAAGGCACAAAGAGTGATGTAAAAAAAGCAGTTAAATTTTTCTCCGTCAACATGTTTTTCAAGCTTATTAACCAATATGTTGGCTTGTTCATTCATGACATCTAAGAAGTCTTCCAGAATGGTAAAATGGAAAGTGGGTGTTAACATTTTTCTCCTGGAGCGCCATTTGTTTCCAGTACTAGAAATACAAGACATGGTTACAAAGAAGAGAAAAGCAACATCCAAAGCAAGTAACGCATAGTCAAGACAACAAATTCTTCTTAATCTACAGATTCCCAAATGCTTTGGTCAGAATGTCAAGGGGAGACTTATATACAGTTATAGGATGGGCATATTTTAGATATTCTTCTATATTACCAATATTTAAAAAAGCTCTCACCAAAATTTTAGTAATTGTTCTAGACTTCTAAGTTCTGAGTTTCCAAAACTTAGAAATTTCCCCCCTTTATCCAACCTTAACCCTCTGAAGATCCAGGAGCTCCATGACTCTACTTTGATCTCTAACATCTTCAAATTCTCCAAAGTCCCCACCGAAGTCCTGCTTCCTCTTTCTCAGTTGATGGGGTCCTGTTGCTGGATGGCAGCTCAAGGACTGAGGTTACTGTGCTCCACTTCTCTGAGTATGACTGCCTTTTTTGTTGAATTTCCAAGATTTCCCTGCTCAAAACTTCTTTATTGAACACCGTGGCTAGAGATTACTCTACACCCTGGGTTCCTGTCTCTCAGAGGCCCGTTATCACCCAAACTTTTTAGCTTCTCCCTACTACCCGACAGCACATTCTTGCTACAGGAAAACTACCTCGTGTCAATGCCTGATATGTTACGCAGAAGACAGCTTTACCGATTTACACTGACTTACCTGGTAAGAAGTCCTAGGCCAAGCCATGGTTCTACAAACCTGTACAGATAAGACTTGTCAATTTGCTTTGAGCTAGTTAAAATTACCTTAGAAAGAGAGAAAATCATAATGAGAGATAGAGATATGAACGCAACCCTAATTATAAGAATACTGGGCTGGACACAACTACTTTCTAAAGTAACATTTCATAACCATTACCTCTTGGTGGTTCATTTTCATTACTATGACTCAAAGAAATGCAATTAGAGTTTGGAGCATACGAGTGTCTCTCACTCTTGGAGACTAGCTGTAGTTGACTAAAAAGAAAATGTCCAAGATAATTCTGACTCCTGCCATATGAATTAGGAGCCATGGAGTTGTTTATTCTGAGGGTAGGAGTGAGGGAAGAGAGGTGGTTGAAGCAAAGGATGAGCACATTTAGGGAGATGGAAATCACAAGTTCATGATTAGGTATGTTGATTTGGAGGCATTCAAGTTGCCATAGTCTGAAAGCAGGTATGAAGCTCAGGATTGAGGCTTATACTAGGTACACATTTGAATGTCTCAGGATATAAGTAGCATTGGGAACCATGGGTATAATTAGTTTGCCTGGAGCCAAAGTAAAGCAGAAGGGATGAGCATATGCAAAAAATGCTTCTCAGGATCCTGCTGCAGTTCCCTACTTTGGACAGATCTCTATCCACATGTACTAAGCCCACTGATACTAGGCCAGCAATGGCTGAAATCCCACATGTGGCCCTCACGCTATTTCCTCTGGACCAGTACATTGGGCAGTGTGGTACCAGAGACACTCTAAGAGTTTTACACAATGAGTAAGAAATATGTATCCAACCACAACAACCCTAGGAAATTTTGCTGTGAATTTTGCTCCATGAAGAGAAGGTCTGTTTATCCCATTTTTACTTCTTTTCCCAAATCCTTTGTCATCAAAGCAAAAGATAATACCCCCAAAGTCATGATAATAAGTAAAAGAAAGGAAAACAATTTTTAGGGATAATTTTAATAGCATGAATTAACAACATCTTCCCCATCAATATAAGATTAGTGTTCTCTTCAAAAAAATTAATTTGAAATAATAAAGGTATATTGGTTACTCTAAGCATCTTAAGGTAAACACATATATTTTATTAGTCTTTTATTTTTGTAATCTTAAAACAGTGCCTGTCAGATGATATGAGCTCATTTGTAGAAAAATCTATTTATGGTTCTGCTCAACTGATGATTTCCCAAAAATGGAGGACAAATATATTACTTGCTACCATATGTGTATAGATATGTAGAAGCTGCTACTCTTCCCAGATCTTAGACTATATCTGGAAAGCATTAAACGGCACCTTCACAGCTTAGATATTTAATGGAATCCTCATTGTATTGAATTCAATTAAATATAAGGATATATATTTGTTGTTTATTCTGATGAGATTCTCATACCATCAAATAAACAGTGAAACATTGATCATAATCACAATCAACTCACCTCTATAATTTCGGCTTTATACATGACTATTACTGGTACTGTGCCAAGCCAGATTTTTATCATTGGCACATGTCTGTTGCTTTCGGTGTAGTAAATCACCTGCTGGAAAAACTCTAGGAGAAAATATTTAATTTTAAATGAGTTCTTTACTGTGTCTCTTTTAGGATTTTTACTCTTTTTACTTTGGGCAACTCACTCAGTATCACGCAGATCTTTCACATCATGAAGCTAAACCACACAGTTGTCCTTACTAACTATCTAATGAATGAATTATGAGGCTAATTGAATTATGAATGATATATATTAACAACCTGGTTAACTGAGAAATGCCAAGCACTGTGGATGTTTGTGGTGACCTTATGACATGCCTTCCCCAAGAACACCGAGGTTGTTCAGTTTCTCCTGACCTGCACAGGCTACTCTTCTGTAGAAAGGGAAACCTGTCCCAACTCTCCAGCCCTGGTAGGCAGATGCTTCCCTTTCACCCTCTCTAAAACAGCATCGAAGTTCCTCAGCAAATTGAGAATAGAGCTACGATATGATCCAGGAATTCCTCTTCTGGGTATTTATCTGAAGAACATGAAAACACTAATTCAAAAAGATATATGCACCCCAATGTTAACTGCAGCATTACTCACAATAGCCAGGATATGGAAGCGACCTTAGGTGTCCATCAATGGATGAATGGATAAAGAAGATGTGATAATATTGGCCCAGCTGGCATGGCTCTGTAGTTGAGCATTGGCCTGGTCAGGACATATGCCCGGGTTACAGGCCCAACCCCAGTGTGGGGCATGCAGAAGGCAGCCAATCAATGATTTTCTCTCATCACTGATGTTTCTCTCTCTCTCCTAGTCCCTTCCACTCTGAAATCAATAAAGAATATAATTACTTAAAAGATAAATCATTGTCATTTGTGATAACATGAATGGATCTTAAGGGTTTTATGCTAAGGGAAATAAGTCAGACAGACAAGGACAAAAACTGTCTGATTTAACTCATGTGTAAAATACAATACCAAAAAGGTACAAATGAACAAATATAACAAAATAAAAACAAATTTAAGGATACAGACAACAGAACAGTGGTTACAGAGGAGAAGGAGAATGGAGAGAGGGCAAAGTAGGTAAGTAGGGTTAAACAAATGATCACAGATGGAAACTAGACTTTTGGTTGTGAGCACCCAAAAGAGTATGCAGACATCAAATTATACTATTGTATACCTCAAATTTAGATAATGTTATTAACCAATGTGAGCTCACGAAAAAAAAATTTTTTAACTCTTCTGTTTTACTAATCCTTCAACTTCTCAAATGTCTCAGGGCCTCTATAGAACCTCTTCTCTTTGTAGGAAAATCTTATTCCTACTGCTTTTTGTCTAAATACACTTACTTATTCTTCAAGTGTCATCTTAAATGTGATTTTTCTGCAAAGTCTTCTGTGATATTCTGAACAAGATTTCTGATAACTTCTCGGGTTGGCTTCCATTTCTAGTACGGGCACCAGATCTCAGTATTTCTAAATACTGTCCTACAATAAAATAAACCAATTCTCCTTAGAGAAGTCATTGATTTTAGGGCCAAGGCAGAGAAAAATACCAGAAGAGTGGAATATATTATGGTACCAGAAAATAAGGAAGTGCACAAAAAATGATGGGGAGTATCTAGGGTTTTCCATATGAACAATCATGTTGTCTGCATTCTTTTTCTTGCCTAAATGTTCTGACTGGGACCTATAATACTATGTTGAATAAAGTGGTGAGAGTGAGCATCCTTGTCTTCCTGAACTTAGAGGGAAAGCTTTCAACATCACATATGGTGTTCTTGCCAAAAATGCATAACCTCAATGAAACTCTGATAAAACAACAGACAAATCCAAACTGAGAGTGATTCTACAAAATACCTGTCTCAGAAAATGGGTCAAGGTCTTGATGTGTATGGAAAGACTGATAAAGATCACAGATTAGAAAAAAATTAATATTGAAGAACATAGCACAAGGAAGAACAAATACTGTATGCCAGGTGAGATTTTGATTTAAGTCATGGATTCCACAAGCAAGGAACATGTACCGCCAAAGGACCAGATCCCTACTCTCAAGGAATTTATAGTCTGAGGAGATGGTCACTGTGGTACTAATCACAGTATCAGATCAGATGAAATGGGTGTTAAATTAGAAGGTTAAGTCTGAGGAGTTATCGACTTTCATTGAAAGGATTGAAGAAATTCCAAGAAAGAGATGGTATTTGAGCATAAAAGAATGAGTTGGCTTTTTATAGGAAGAAAAAGGAAGTTAGGGTAAACAAAGCAGCAGACATAGCAGAGTAGAGGCAGGGAGGTCTGAAAATTGACTATAGGTTTAGCCAAAGCACAGGATGGGGATGAAAACATTGATAGATGAGCTTGGAGTGCTGGAAGGTTAAAAAAGTTGGATTTTCTTTTATAGTCTCTAGTCAATAACTGAAAGTTCCTGATGAGTACTAGAACCACAGTTATATTTTAGGACAATAACACTGAGGTGTGTGGGGGTCTGTGAAGAAATTGGTATTCCTATTCCAAGGATACAGGAAGCTTCTGGGGGTGGAATTAAATGCAGCTAGTGAGAGGGGCCCTGATCCTGCTTTATGGCTCGTCCTTATAGTGGGTGTGGGGAAATGGTGACCAGTAATCCCAACAACATTGAAGTAGGGAGGAAAGTTTGGGAGTTAACACTTTCTGTATTGAAATCCCGGAGGCCCCATCTGGGGAATGCAGCCCAGCATTCAGAAAGGTCAAACATGACAAAACTCTGGGTCAGGTCAGGAAACACTAAATTGGTGAGTGCAACCCAGAGGTGAGGGTTGGGTGGGGTGGGGGAACACAGTGACTAAAGGATTGGGGTACAGGGCCCAGGCCTCAGAGAAAAGACCTGGCAATTGTTACAATGAGCAGAAGTCAAACAACATGAGGTCACGGGAGGACTGGCTTTCTAATTAGGTTGGAAATGAGGCAATCTCCTAAAAGTGCTGGCAAAATCCAGGGAGGGAGGGATAAGGAGAGCAGACTAGCTGGGAGGCATGTGGTACCCAGGCTTCTTCTAGGCAGAGGGAATACCCCCATGACAGCAGCAGGACTAATGCCCACAGCACTGAGGCTACTAATATGAATGGCACCTGAGATTTTGACAGGTTGTTTAACAAGGGAATTTGGGCCCCACGGACAGACTGACATGGCATAAAAAACAACTATTAAACTTTGCAGCTCTTTTTCAGCACCAAGAAATGTTCACATACCCACCTCTCCCTGCTCCTTCTCCTATCCCTCAGCTTCCCCCACCCCTGGGCTTCAGGGCAAGCTGCTCAAAGTGCAGCGGAAGGCAGGCTAAAGCGCAGGGATGTCCATTGCCTGTGATACTGAATAAACAGTAGTAACTGTTTAAAGCGTTTGCACATCTGGGCCCCTCAAAACCTAATAATGAATCTTCTAAAATGGCTGACATTCATTCTGTCATATTTATTTGCTGTGGAAGGTAATTAAACATCAGACCAGAACTAAAGGTTATCCATGCCTTATGTCTTTTATGCCTCACCACAGTCAGATGAGAAACACTATTACAGAAGTTAGTGAACAACTGAGGAAGTTGTGCCCAGCTAAATAGTTGCACAATATCACAGCGCTGGTAAATATAGGCCCGGCTTAGTCCCCAAGGCACCCAGACACACAATGTGTCATCTTCACCATTACATCACGCCGATTCAAAATGCCTTCCAGTCAAACTGTTGGCTAAATTGCTATGAAAAG